TGTTTATATTAATTAACCAACCAACCATCCATCCAATCAACCAATCAGTCAATCAAAAAACCATCCAACTAATAAATCTTTTATTACAAATCAACCATTCAATCAATCAACCAGTAAACTAACCAACCAGTCAATCAACCAATCGACCAGCCAGTCAATCAACAAATCAACCAACCAGTCAATCAACCAATCAATCAATCAATTAATCAACAACCAATTAGCCAATCAATCAATCACCTAATCAATCAACGAACCAATCACCAAACAACCAACTGACCAACCAACCAACCATCCAGCAAACCGACCTAAAAATTTTGGACATGCAAAAAAATTTCCGCGGACGCTGTCCATACGAGCCAGACTCCAACTTCACCAGTGTATATGCAAGTCCGTTGTCATTTTTTATTATATCTTTGTTATCATATTTTTGTTATTATATCTTTGTTATCGTATCTTTGTTATTATATCTTTGTTATTATATCTTTGTCATTATATCCTTGTTATTATATCTTTGTTTTTATCTTTATTACTATATCTTTGCTGCTACATTATTGCTACAATATCTTTGTAATTAGTTTATTACAATTTTGTAACTAAATCTTTGTTATAACAATAATTCTATGTTATAATTATTTATTTATAATTATTGATAATTATAGTTGTAATAATTATTATTCCAAATTATTCCACAGCCATGCGCAAACCAATTGAAGTCAGTTTCATACTTTCTGCAACGATGTTCGACTTCGGGATGGCGAATTCCATTTTGCTACGGCCGAGGTTGTACGTCAGTGAGCTTGGAAATTATTTTCAAGATGGCGGTAGCCCCATTCAAGATGGCGGCAGCCCTTTTCAAGATGGCGTCGACAATGGCGGGAATGATGGTGATAATTATAAAGAGCTTCTACGGACAGAGTACGATTTTTTGAATGGTTGGTTGGCTGGCTGGCTGGTTTGTTGGTTGGTTGAATAGTTGATTGATTGGTTGGTTATTGATTGATTGATTGATTGATTGGTTGATTGATTGATTGATTGATTGATTGATTGATTGATTGATTTATTGATTTGCATAGTGAACGAGCGAGTGATTAATTGAACTAATTATTTCTATACTTGTAAAACCAATGTGTTGAGTGAGACAGTGTTCGTTTAAAGAAAAAGGTAACAGCAACAACATCAACATCATCCACAACAACATCAACATCAACAACAACAACATCATCAACAGCAACAACAACAACAACAACAACATCAACTACAACAACAACATCAACTACAACAACAACATCAACAACAACAACATCATCAACAACAACATCAACAGAAGCACAGTTCGTTGGAACGTTTGACATCGGTGACTTCATCTACGTCTTCTTCAGAGAACTTGCCCACCAGAGTGTATTTACCGTTCATTCTAGAGTTGCTAGAATATGCAAGGTTAGTTGGTTGATTGATTGGTTGGTTGATTGATTGGCTAGTTGATTAATTCATTGATTGGTTGGTTGGTTGGTTGGTTGTTTGATTGATTGGCTGGTTGATTGGTTGGTTGGTTAATTGTTTAATTGACTGGCTGGTTGATTGGTTGATTGTTTGATTGATTGGCTGATTGATTGGTTGGTTAGTTGGCTGATCAGTCAGTTCGTTAATTTTCATCGTGATCATCATCAACAATTTCAAGATCATTACTATCACCACCACCATCATCATTCCATCATTATTGTAATCACCGGCAGGGTGACATGGGGAATGGTGAAAACAGGTTCACCACCTTCGTGAAAGCCCGCCTCAACTGCTCAGTCATTAAGAACGAAGTGGCGTTTCGATTCGATGAAATTTGTAAGTTGTGGTTGGTTGGTTGATTATGATTGGTTGATTTGGTTGGTTGATTTTGATTGGTTGATTTGGTTGGTTGATTTTGATTGGTTGATTTGGTTGGTTGATTTTGATTGGTTGTGGTTGGTTGAATTTGATTGCTTGATTTGGTTAGTTGTGGTTGGTTAGTTGTGGTTGGTTAGTTGTGTTTGGTTAGTTGATTGTGATTGAGTAGTTTGTTCTTTGATTGGCTGGTTGGCTGGTTGATTGACTGGTTGGTTGATTTGTTTGGTT